TTTTTTTTTTTAAGATTTTATTTATTTATTTGACAGAGAGAGACACAGCAAGAGAGGGAACACAAGCAGGGGGAGTGGGAGAGGAAGAAGCAGGCTCCCCGCAGAGCAGGGAGCCAGATGTGGGACTCGATCCCAGGACCCTGGGATCATGACCTGAGCCGAAGGCAGTCACTTAACCGACTGAGCCACCCAGGCGCCCATCTTTTTTTTTTTTTTTTTTTTTAAAGAGAGTATGCAAGGGGACAGGGAGGCGCAGAGGGAGAGGGAGAGAGAGAATCTTAAGCAGGCTCCACACCCATTGTAGGAGCCCAACGAGGGACTCAGTCTCACATTCCTGAGATCATGATCTGAGCCGAAATCAAGAATCCAGTGCTTAACCAACTGAGCCACCCAGGCACCCCTTCTTTTTTATTTTTATTTATTTTTTAATTCTTAAGCATCTGGATGATTTTAAGACATTTTTAAAAAAATTTTTATAAAAATGTCCAACATGGGGTTTGAACTCCCAACCCTAAGATCTAGAGTCACATGTTCTACCAACTGAGGCAGCCAGGCACCCCCGAGACATTTTTTTTAGAGCAGTTTTAGGTTCATAGAATTGAGAGGAAGGTACAGAGATTTCCTGTATGCCTTCTATTCCCACACATACATAGCCTCTCCCATTATCAGCATTCCCCCATCATTGTGGTACCGTTTTTAAAATTGAAGAACCTACATTGACAAGTCATAATTACCCAAGATCCATAGTTTACCTTAGCGTTCACTCTTGAGTTGTACATTTTATGGGTTTGGACAGATGTATAATACGTACCCATCATTCCAATATCATACAGAGTATTTTCAGTGTTGTAAAAATCCTCTGCTCTGCCTGTTTGCCCCTCCCCCCAGCCTCTACCTTTTTTTTTCTTTTTTGTTAAACTACAAAAATTGCTTATTTTAAACTTGTAGAGGAGTTTTATCTAAAATTAATGGAAAACAATTTTCTTTCAGTTTTACTCATTTTGTAAAAAACCTATTCCAGGTTATTTAATTATGAAATTATTATTGATACTACAATGACCACATTATTTATTAATTTCTTACACATTATTCCTCAGTGTTTGGTAGAGAATCTAGCCTGTTACTATATATCCTAACCATAGATCCTGTACACACACCCATAATGCAAGTCTTTATTCAATAACCCAGATATGAAATGGTATATATTCAGAGATCCAGTGAGTAAAGTGATCATGGAGTAAAGTTTTACAAAATATGTGCAGTCTTTTAGTTCATTTTATATTTCTTTTTTTAGTTACAGAAGCAAAGACTAATTCATTTTAGATTGTTGGGGTATAGAAATAAGACTTTGGGTTAGAGCTTACACCATCTGTTTTATTTGTGCCAGTTTAGTGTAGGACATGGTTTTGTGGATCATTTGAGCCTTTTGTACTATATTAAAATTGAGCCCAATCTAACTGAGTTAAGTATCTGGAATATACTCATCTTGAGGCTGTTTTCTAAACTGACTCTCATCAATACTTGCATTGCTGTTTTGTGTAATTTTTTTTTTTAAGATTTTATTTATTTATTTGACAGAGACACAGTGAGAGAGGGAACACAAGCAGGGGGAGTGGGAGAGGGAGAAGCAGGCCTCCCGCCAAGCAGGGAGCCCGATGCAGGGCTCTATCTTGGGACCCTGGGATCATGACCCGAGCCGAAGGCAGACGCTTAACGACTGAGCCACCCAGGCTCCCCTATTTTGTGTAATATTTTAATACTGGTAGGAAACTTAGAAATCTTTCAGTCCATCGCTGCGTTTTTCTTGGTCAAGACATTTAGACCCAAATTGGTTGGTGTTTTTTGTTTTTGTTTTTTTTTAGAGAGTGAGTGAGAGCACTTGCAGGAGAGTGGGGAGGGGCAGAGGAAGGAGAGAGAGAATCTCACGCAGGCTCCACGCTCAGTGCAGAGCCCAGTGCGGTGCTCAGTCTCACGACCCCGAGATCATGACCTGAGCCAAAATCAAGTCGGACACTTAACCGACTGAGCCACCAAGGTGCCCCAAGACCAAATTGTTTAAGTGGTTTATGCACAGTTGCCTTCCTTCATGGAATGTGAATGAAATTTTTTTTCCAGTTTTACATGGAGTTATTATTTGAAACGACCTAGTTTGGTTGTTTTCAAGCTTTCTTAAACTTATTTTTCCTTTCAAAAAGAAATCTTACCTTGAGCTCTTTATATAAAAACATAATTGAGGGGGCCCATTTCTGAAGCCCTGTCCAGTGGCTTGAAGTAATTTCTAGGAACTTTAGGGCCTAAAAATAATTCATTTAAGTACTATTTCATGAGATTGTCATTTCACAAACTGGTTTGTTAATCATCATATTTTGTTCAAAACTACTAGTGGTAGCAGTAGGCAATCCAGAAAAATGGTAACAAAACATTTTATAGAAATAGGAGGCACTTTGTACATCCCTGCAAAACAGTTTGAAGCCCCTGGTAGTTATGAAGCACCAGGTGGTAATTTTATAGTTATTTGAGTTATTCATAATATGTGAATTGGCTTTGAGATATTGAAAATATTCCAGACATGCACGGCAGGAATTATTAATAAGACCCCTAGAACTTTATTTTTATTTATTTATTTTTAAGATTTATTTCTTTATTCTTGAGAGAGAGCAAGCGAGCGAGCACATGAGAGCAGGGGGAGGGGCAGAGGGAGAGAGAGAAAACCCTCAAGCAGACTCCCCACTGAGTGCAGTTCCCAATGCAGGGTTCCGTCCCAGGACCCTGAGATCGTGACCTGAGCCAAAGCCAGGAGTCAGACGCTTAACCAACTGAGCCACCCAGGCACCCCCCCCGCTTTAGAACTTTATATAATTTTCTGCGTAGAAGTTAAAGAAATTAATATAGATATGTATTGACCAGCTAATATGCTGTGACTGAATTTTAGAAAGCATCCTTGAATGAATGTTTATGCCATGAATCTGACTTGATTTTCTTTCATTTGATAGGAAAAAGCTCTATTTCTGAAGAGAAAGGTGAATCTGATGATGATAAACCAAGGAGAGGAGAAAGACGATCATCCAGGGTCAGACAGGTAACTCAAACATCTCTTAAAGCATTTATCACTTCTTTGGATACTGCTTTGGATATCTCCTCCTTCTCTTCCTCCTAAGACTTTTTCAGAGTTTGTGTCTCTTTAGATTTCTGTAGTCCTCTTCTTTTTCCTCTTTTTCATCTTTATCTCATTTATGGGAGTTTGGGGGGTGGTGTTTGTTTTCCTTTTTTTTTTTTTTTTTTTTTTTTTTTCCAAAAGCACTCGTTAGCATTTAATGAACCTCCCTCCATGTGGCTTCAAGCTACCAGGACACAGCACCGCCCAACCCCCTTCATCTTCTCATCAACTCTTTTACTGAAGAATTTGGCCTTCACGATGACAGGCTGTTTGGGGAGCTTTCCCTTTCCTGAAACTTTGTAGTAGCCTGAGTGCACCACGTCAGGAATAGGAGCAGCTCCGGTCTTGTTTCTGGCAGCATTTACCCGTGCCTGCTCACTGACTAAGGTCCGCAGTTTGTCAAGGTTGACAGATGGGCAGAAGCTCTGGTTCCTCTTTAAGTGCTCATGCCTCATACTAACGTTTCCAAAGTAACCTGGGTGATATTTGTCGAAGTTGACCCTGTGATGATGCGTGTCTCCAGCATTACCCTGGCCTCCTCTGGCTTCCAGTGCTTGCTGAATGCGGCTGTGGCTCACGTGGCCCGAAGTTTCCGGGTCTTCCTTCCTGGATGGCATGTGGGCAGCCCAGACGAAAGAGCTGGTTTTTTGTTTTCTAATTAGGTCTGCTCAGATTTCTAAGCAAATATAAATTAAAACTTAATTATGAAAGTTAACTTAAAGGTTGGTCTATATTCCTAAAATACATTATTAAAAAAGATACAGTTATTCAATTAGAACTTTAAAGCCATATGATACAGTGTTAAGTGAGCCAGAGCACAAAAGTTTATCTGTGTTATGATTATGACTATGGAAAAGAAATGATGAGGAAAAAGTTAAATATACCAAAATGATAAAAATAATTACATTAAGTGATGATAGGTCAGTTCCCCCACCCCCTTGCCACTTTCTAGATGTTCAGTTTGTATTTATTTTTAAAGCTTGAAACTAAAAAATGAACTAGTAGCGGTTTCATTAATGTATTCCATTTGTAGTCTCTTTTGATCCCCTTAAGAGCTTGATAGACCATGCTTGTTTACTGCCACACTTGTGTGTGTGGATGCAAGCTTGTATCATTGAGTTTCTCTTTCTTATGTGTATCTCCTGAGATACTTTTTTCTCCTCTGTTGATAGTGAGCAAATATACTTGGATCCACTATATATCTTTTCTTTCAGGCAAGAGCAGCTAAACTCTCTGAGTGTAGCCAGGTGGCTGAGGAGGAAGAGGATCAAGAAACACCTTCCAGAAATCTGAGGGTCAGAGCAGATCGAAATTTGAAAACGGAGGAGGAAGAAGAAGAGGAGGAAGAAGAGGAAGAAGAGGAGGAAGAGGAAGAGGAAGATGAAGGACAAAAATCTAGGGATGCACCAGTCATGAAACAACTTGAGGAAGCAGAAGAGGGGGAAGAGATGCCCAGAGCAAAACCAGAGGAGGTGATAGATGAGAGACCCCAAACCATAAGATCCCAGGAACAGGAGGGGTTAGAGAGAGGGGGAAGAGTCACAAGGTCCCAGGAAGAAGCCAGAAGAAGTCTTATGGCCAGACATCAGCAGGAGAAAGAAATGAAAACAGTTTCTTCCCTTGAGGAAGAAGAAAAGGAAATAAAATCTTCACAAGGCTTGGAGGAAAAATCAAAGTCCCCTTCCCCTCCTCGACTGACTGAAGATCTGGAGAAGGCCCCTCTTGTGCTACAACCAGAGCAAAATGCCAGTGAGGAGGAAACTCCCCCACCTTTACTTACCAAGGAAGCATCTTCACCGCCTAATGCACAGCTCCAGGGTGAAGAAGAAATAGAGCCCATGGAAGGCCCAGCTCCCCCTGTCCTCACTCAGCTATCTCCTCCTAATACAGATGCTGAGGCCAGGGAGCTATTAATATCTCAGCATACTGTCCAGTTGGTGGGAGGCCTGTCTCCTTTGTCAAGTCCTGCAAACACCAAAGCAGAATCTCTAGCAGAGAAAGTGCCAGAGGAGAGTGTCCTGCCCCTAGTTCAGAAAAGCACACTAACTGAATGCTCACCCCAGAAGGGTCTTGAAACTGAGTCAGAAAAATCTGCTCAACCACTCCCTCTTAAAATCGAGGAATTAGCACCGGCCAAAGGGATCACTGAGGAATCTCTGAAACAGCTGTCTTTGGAACAGAAGGAAGGTAGAAGGGCTTCTCATACCCTTCTCCCAAGCCACAGATTAAAACAGTCAGCTGACTCCTCCTCAAGCCGGTCGTCCTCTTCATCCTCCAGTTCTAGATCAAGATCTCGCTCTCCTGACAGCTCAGGCTCTCAGTCTCACTCATCTCCAAAATCCAAGCAGAGAGATGTATCTCGGGCACGTACTCACACCAACCCTCGTGGTAGATCCGAGATGGGCTCCCGATCCACATCAGAGTCCAGGTCACGTTCCCGTTCCCGTTCCCGTTCTCGTTCAGCTTCAAGCAACAGCAGAAAAGTAAGTGTGGGAGAATCCTGGGTGCGTTGATGTTTTGTTTGTATTCCAGTGTTTTTCAGCCCCAGGAGAACTATTATAATTTCTGGCAGGAATGGGAAAAGCTTCCTTTACTCCCCAGGTCAGTGATTATTTTCCCATCATTTCTGAGTCTAATTTTTAATTCATTAATCCCTAAATAGAGTCCTTTTTCATTTTTTTGAGTCCCTTTGATTCCAAAGTTGAATCATTTACCCATTTTCAGTAGTCTATAAACTTGAAGATACGGACATGCCTTTTTACATGTGTATCTTAGTATCCTAGCACCTACTTGGGACTTAATAAATAATTTGCTGAATACTCTAGGAAGTCAAGGAGATCACGAACTCAAAGAGGAATAAACATAGGGAGAGAAGGGTCCAAAGTATTAAACTGAGTCCGCGGAAGTTGGAAAACTCAGTGATGTATTGAATATATACCATATAAAATAATTTGCCTTATGTGCTTCATTTCTTCAGTCTCTGAGCCCTGGAGTCTCCAGGGACAGCAGCACCAGCTACACTGAAACCAAAGATCCCTCTTCTGGTCAGGAGGTTGCTACTCCACCAGTGCCACAACTGCAGGTCCTTGAGCCAAAGGAGAGGACTTCCACCTCATCCTCTGTCCGAGTGAGGCATTTGAGCCAACCTGAGCCAGCTGAAAAGCATGTGACCCAGAGGTTACAGCCTGAGCGGGTAGGCTATTATGCCCCCTTCCTAGAAGGAGATGGAGGATTAGGCATGATTTTCCCTTTTGTCTTAGCTAGTCTGGATAAGGTTCAGTAGAGATCTAGATGGTTGGGGATACCTGTAAGATTCTACTCCGTTCCAGCTCCCTGGTTCATGAAAGCTCTATAGGAGGCTAGGCATCAGGTTTCTCATCTCCAGGGCTCCCAGGGTCACTTGCACAGAATGTCTCCTTTTTTTCTGCCCCAAAGGAAGCCTTTTCTCAGTTCTCTCAAAAAAGAATTCTAATAAAATGATTGTTGGCATAGAAATTCTTTAAGCAGCATTCCATTCCACTTTCTAAATGAAAATAAAGATCTATAGGGCTAAGTGTGGAGCTGCCACTGCCTTTTATTACCAGCTCCAGGTTTAAAGAAGAGGAACCAAACAGATTTAAGTACGTTGCTATGGGTGTTTTGCTATGTTTGTCCTGACAGGGGAGCCCAAAGAAGTGTGAAGCTGAAGAGGCAGAGCCACCAGCTGCCACACAGCCCCAAACCTCAGAGACCCTGACCGCTCACCTACCAGAATCAGAAAGGATTCATCACACTGTGTAAGTAATCTGTCTCATCTGGGGTATAACAAGGGACTGGGAGTGTGGAATAGTTCTTTGCTCCCTGGGGTTCTTTGACTAAGCAGTCCTAGTTTCCTTTTAAAACGTAAAGGCAGAGCTTTATCTGGACAAAGGCTAGGCCTCAGTTGTTATGTTGAGAGCTGCCACCGGAATTCTTAAGGTGCTCTGAAAAGTGGTGGTTAGAGCATAAGGAAACCCATGTCTGAGATCATCAAAATAGTTCCTTTAAGGAGCAGGTAGCAGAGGCTTTGGTTTCCAAACTCAAGGCAGTGTAAGGGAGTTGACTCAGGTCATCTTAACTCAGTGTTTAACTCACGTTTACCAGCTACATCTGAGCCTGGGAACACAGTTTAATAAAGGGGATATCAAGAGTCTACCAAGAAAGTCACAGGGGGGTGTTGTTTTTGAGTTTCTGTTGTTTTCCTTAGTTATTAGCTGTCTTTTTATTAAGCACAATCTATCTTAGTTCTTACTGGATGCAATATAGCAAAATATGAAGCATATATCAATCAGAAGTTTGTTTTTGGGCCCCTAAGACCCTTGGATTGATTTTTACCATTTACTTAATTAATGTCAGTTTTTATTCCTTATATTTAGTTCTAGAAAAATACAGGTAAGAACAGGTATATCATTCGTTCATTATTCTGCACTAGGTACTATATGTTAAAAAGCCGTTGAACCCAAATTCCTGGCTTTAGAGTCCCATGGAAAATGAAAAGCAAAACATTGTGGAAATAAGATTGCTTAGCTTTTAGACATCAAGAATCCTATACTGCTTTTACTGCTTTAGTGAACATCCAGTGTAGACAGTTGGCCTAAAGTTGTTCTATGTTGGTTTTTATGTCATTTTTAACACTAATACTATCAGTATGATTTTTCCCCTTTATGCAAAAGTCTAATTTACACACTTCTGAGAGCTTCAGGCTATCTTACCTCTGATTTTGGAGGGTGGTGGGCAGGTGACATGATTTATTACCTCATTTCCTTGCGATTTTAATACTAGTTTTGTACTCCTTAGTATCTATATAGCTTTTGTCTTGGGATATACCCTTGCTACTGTCTTTTCTAATGGTCTTGCCTCTGCTGCCATCTTGTGGCCATTACTTTTTTGGTTTGAAAGTCAAAAGTTCACTCTACTTCCTTTGAAAAGTTTTGTTTTTCCCTTTTGGGGTGGGTACATTATCCTTTGGAGAGGGTTTTTCTTCTAGGACCATAAAGTGAAAACCCAGCGGATTCTGGAAGGTGTTCAGGATTCCCCAGCTACACCATCGATGAGGAAATGGGGTGACACCTTCCCTTCCATATCCATGAACCAGAGATAATACCTGCCCTCCCCTACCCCATCCCATGGGGGTACAGCATGTCCTTTGTATAATGGCAGCTTTAAAGTAGGTGTTGACAGCCTGCTAGTAATTGGGCCTGAGGAACTGCCTCCTATACCCCTTGTGAAGCAAGTAATTTTCTGAAAAGGTTTTGCTTTGCCCTAAAACTTCAGTTGGTCTGTGAGATCCTGGCAACAAAATGGCACTTGATGCTATTTTGAAACATCTTTATTTCTGGACTTTAGCATGCAAGTCCAGGGCAAATGAAGCTTGGAGTCCTGTACAGAGTTTTTCTCCCCATGTAAAGGTGCCCTTGATCTTCCATTTTATGACTGAGGTAATCTAGTCACATTGATTCCAACAAGGTGACAGGCAAGTGGCACCTTGGGCAAATACTGAGACTGTCCATTGTTGTGTAGGCAAGCTTCAGTGAAGCAGCCTATAGGTGAGAAATGCAATCTGAGCTCAGGAGTAGCTCACACACATCCCCTTTACCCA